CGAGAAGAAGGCCTTTTGACTCTCAATGGGTAATTAGGCCACGCTGAAACATGCTGAATCTTTAAAGGTTCACCCAACTTCTCGCTTCTTCCAACCTGTTGCAGCCGACCTCAACCACTTGAGAAGACTTAACCAGCTTCAGGTTTGGTGAGTGTTTCACCCATCTTGAAGTCATCCCGGAATTGTGTGACTTCTCCAAGCTTCTCGCCCCATGCGCTGCGCACCCTGTTCCCCGGGTTGTTCCCCCGTGGCCTGACCCTCGCCCGTCTCCGCCGCTCGCAGGATCAAACGGGAAAACGTCGAAGCACGTTCTCCTACGACCAGGCTCGAAACACGCCGAAACACGCCGAACAAGGGCGGTGGGAAGCAGCCGCGGTAACGGTGGTGTCGAAACGCCGCTGGGGAGCGAGGGGCGGAGAACTCGGGGCCGCAACGGCTGGTGGGTCCGAAGACCGACCCACGAGCTGGACCGGTGGTGAAGACGAAAATGGACGACCGGACCGGAGGCGAAGATGGTGGGTCACCCATCCCCAGTCATTGGGAATCCTGACGTATGCTACGCTCCCAGCATGGCTCAAGTCGGTCCACCTCCGATTCATCGGGTTTATAGGAGCGTTTGGGGCGGGGATTGGATGACAAAAAGTTGAGAGATGATTGAGAGGCTAAGAAACATCCTCCAAACATGGACGTGGCCGGCCACTCCAAGCGGCCCAGTTGTGGCCATATCAAATATATTGCACCCGTCGATTGCACGTCCTTTGTAAGTTCGTCCCATGTGACTTTCTGGTTTCCTTGCCCGTACCTTCTCAGGTTCGGTACGACTGGACCCGACGTGACTTGGCACCTACAGTGCGTCCTAACCTGAGGTTCGGGTGCGAAAACGGATCCCTATCTCCGGGTGCTTCATCTTGCTTCCTCAGCCGACCGAACCGAACCTTCTGGCGTTCTGAAGTTTGCATGTCTCTAGGAGTCGTTCGTGGAGCTCACGCTGATGCCGTCAGGAACCTTGTGGACGCTTGGCACGGTTCGTGCTTTAGGGAGAGAAAGGGAAGTATATTGGGCAGCCGGGCAGACCGGTGTTTTGGTTTCACATCGAAGATTGTCAAGTGAATACCCAGACGCGACCGATGGGACTGCCATATATAACTACATTGGGGTGGTGCCAGGGGGGTCAATGTAGGCATATATGGCATACATGGAGTGTCTGGGATATCAAACTAAAAGTGAACATGTTCCCTATAATTATTGTTCTTGATGAGAGGCTTCACCTTGGAGCTACTGTACTTTCTACTCCGGGATGACCACTGATGGAACCTTTTTGTGTTTGTGCTTGGCCTTTCAACTGAACGCCTGTCTAGACAGTGCTCACTTTTCCTCGTTACGTTCAGTCCCTGATTCAAGATGTCCACTGCCAATAGATCGAAGAGTGGGTTCCAAGACATGTTGCCCCCCTTTCTTCCCAAGAGTTACTTGGGTCAAAAGCTCAATTATAGGGGGCCTGTTTTGAAGTCGCTTTGAAGATTGAAGAAGGGGGCTGGGGCATGGATGTGTGGATTTGTGGATGGGTGACTTGTCTTAAGAAATGCCACGTGGCGACCAGTTCCCATTGCAAGATCTCTTTCCCGGTGCGTCTTCCCTTCGCCCCCGGTCGCAACGGACCAATAGCAGCTGCGCCCCTCTTCTGCCGTCTGCGCGGTGTCCCTCCCGCGGCGGCACGGCAGGTTGGCGGTGGCTCCAGTGGACGAGGCCAATGGCGACGACGAGACCAAGCTTTTGTTGCAAAACGAGGATTCGCCCCTCGGCGCGGCGCGGACAGCGGACAGCGGAGTCCTTCGCGGTTTCCCGTGGGTTGCCCGCGGTCGTCCGCAGAATGCGGCTGGGGGTAGGGCGGGTCCACACGTGTGGCAGGTGGGGGATATGAGGGACCGGGGATGGGGATGGCTCATTCCTTCTAACGAATATGCCCTCCAGAAGCCATGGTATGTCCTGGTTCCACCACGTGGATCTCCCATGGATCATCCAAACTATCTATACAGGGGTCTCAGAGCTTCGATGGCACTGCTGGCACCACCCCAAAATGACTTTAACATACTTTAACTCTATAGGGTCCACTATAGTGGGTCCACTGGGGCTCCACCCAACTTGCCAGAGTATTGCCTGGACTGAAACGGACTGAAACGGACTTGACTTGCAAGCGATCCAACGGACTGAAACGAGGAAGACATGAGGAAGACGACCAACATCTCTATAGGTCCCTACAGGTCGTCCCTATAGAGGTCTCAGGACACAGGTGGTTGGGTGCTTTTCACGCCTGGTTCGAGTACAGGAGTGTTCCTTGCATGATCCAACTCCGGTAAAATTCGGTTCTCGAACCTGCAGGGTCGAAAGGGCCATGGGGCCAAGATAATCCCCCTGACAGTCCTCCAAGAGGCCCCCTCTCCTGGCTGGCTAAGCGATTTCTGTCCATGACTCACATCACATGGAAGTGTTTATGGCCCACCCATGCCCGGCTTCGTTGCAGGAAAAATGGTCATCCAAAGGTTCAAGGGGTCGGGCTGTCATCCAAGGTTCCTGGAACGGCTCGGCTTCGATTTATGCGCGCTTTTGGTGCCAAATAGGATCTTACTAGGATTGCAAACCTTTTGATACTGATAGTAACTGCTACATATGTGGGTCCTTGGATGTCTTGAACAGCAGGTGAACATCCATTGCTTGGTGCTTTTTGATGAGTGATGAACACTGTTCAAAGAGAGTCGCCAGAAGTCACTACGCAAACAAGACAATCTGTGAGTTTGATTTCCAATGCTTTCTAGGTTACCATTATGGTTGCCCGCACCCTTTGTTTTTTGCGGAGCGTTTTCCAGGTGAACCACCCTGCGCCATCCACTTCGAGTGGTGTGACTTAGACCCCTCCTACCATGTGTACTATGGAACTATACAATGCACCATGATAGGAGGGTCTATACAATACACCCCTCCTACCATGTACACCATGTGTACTGAATTCAGTTACCATGTTACCCCTCCTTCCATGTGTAACTCGATTCAGTTCTGGATGTTTGCAGAGCTGCCGCGTCGAGGTTGTTGCCCTGCTGAGACGCAACGCGCGTGCTCGGCAAAGACCGAGAACAAGCAGCGTTCACCTTAGAAGTCAGTAGGGTTGTGAGTTGTTCACAGTGTTCACTTGCATCAGCCGCTGACCTTCAACAGTCTTGACTTTGAGCAGGTCTGTAAAAGATATTGTTGGTGTTCTACTAACATCAGTGCTTCAACTCTGATCATTCTACAACATTCCACCAATTTCAGTGCTTGACCTTCCAAGGCTTTGGTTTCTGGACACCCTCAGTGCACCATCTTAGTCCTGTGAAGGTCCAATCAACCCCGACGGAAGCCGGGAAGCAAAAAGCGCGGTTGATGCAACACGACTCCTGCAGTGGATTGCAGTCGTTTGCACCAAGAGACCAAGCAACTCCATTCTTTTCGGGTGACCGCGGAGGAGCGACATGTGGGCGTTTGACCTTTGACTTTTGACCCAATTTGGCCAGGGGTGGAATCGTGGAAGTGTTGGCCTCCACGTAGGCACGGATTCCGTGATGTTTGTGTATGGGAATCCATGATGCAAAATACATATTCATATGCATGGAGCCACCATGCATTCTGAGCTTCGGGGGCGATGGCTTGTTGGGGTCGTCTTTGATGGAAGGTCTCCGCAGTACCTGCTGGCGAGCACCTGCCGGCAGAAAGACTCGGTGGCTCACAGAGCTGTCTCGATCCGAAGGACCCATCCCATTCGACGTGGGTGACGTTCGGATCCACCGTGGTTTTCCTCTACAACTCAACCCATTCTTTACAAGCGACGCAGGGTATAGAGAAATTATATCCATTTTTGCTTTGCCACTGCTTCAGCCTTTGGTCTAGCCCGATCCGCCGGATGATCCGTAACAAAAACACATGCACCCGCAGTCGCTTTCGCTTGGGAGAAAAGCACGTTCGCCCTGGTCCTCACGGTTGGAGCGGCCGTTCGTTCTGGCTCAGGGTCCGAGGACCTGGAAGACCAGATGAGCAAAAGTGGAAGCTCGGGGGTTAAGGTTCAATCTTTGGGCACCTCTCCAGAATTGCCGCAGAGGAAAGCACGAGGAAAGCAAGTGAGTCTGGAAGTGGTTTGGTGGTTTGGAAGTGCTTCCCTCATGAACTCCAAGACTTGTCTGGCCATGTTTGCCATGTCATGGTGCCCCCTCCTCTCTCGCGGCCCAAAGCAAGAGAGACAGAATCAGCCCTTTCGCCCCTTCTCAACTTCAGTTTCTTCGGAGAATCCATTCATTGGCATTCCCATGCACTCCCTGGGACTGGAAAATATGCCGCCCCAAACAACCCCCCCTGGCACCACCACCCCTGGCCTGGAGCACGGCAGTCCGCCCTGGCAGTCCCGGATGGCGGTCGTGTTTGGCGTTGGAGCATCGGCACCTTCAACCTTCCGCAGAGTGTTCACTTACTTCGTGTGGACGTCCCCTTTGGTCAAAAGCCTCGCAGGAAGACTAGTTAGTCTAGTGACATGACCAACAGGGCGCCACAGACCAACACGGTTGAAAAGCTGGCACCTGAAAACAGTGGATGAAGTGACCAGCTTCTACCGAAAAAAAGCGACCAGCTTCTAACTCCTCCATCTCCTTGGCCTTTCCTCTTGCCGGTCCGGTCCGGTGCATCATGGGTGGTGATGCGCTGTGGGAGGCGCTGTGGAGGCGGTGGCCGAGGCAAGACATCTGGAAAGGGTCTCTCAGACAGTGAAACGTTTGACGCTGAGGGGGGGGAAAGGACCAGGAGCTTCATTAAACGATTGGACCAGTTGAAGGTCAAAACTGCGAGACACGCCTATAGGCCTTTCTCGGTGACCTTGGGTTTGGTTTTGGATCTGGCAAAAAAGGTCGTGTGCGTTGTAGAGGCGTTGGGCCGAAGAGAAGCCTCCTCTCAGCAAAAAACCTCCTGTCAGGCCTGGTTAAGCGATGGAGCTGGGCCTGGTGGCGGCGGTGCGCTTGGAAGAGGGCATTCCCAAATTGCCGCTGGCCGTGGTGTGGCGGGGAATGCGCGGGGAATTGGTATTCTTCGCGTGTTGTTGTTTCTCCTCCGCTGGTGTAAGGAGATAGGATGTTCTCGCAAGTGAAGATAGCGTTGGAGTAATTACTATGTTGCCTGGATGTTCCTCGAAAAATTGATCTTCCATTCAATAAATTGTCTTAATATCTTCCAAAATACAGCACGGTACTATACTATGTGAGATTAAATGGTTCTGGGTGGAGAGACCAACACCCCTGGAACCGTACCCTGGCTGAATTGAACATGACATATATTGCCTTACCTGCTAAACCTTATAACCACCTTTTGTTGTCCATGTCGCTAATTGGTATCTATCCAGGGTAGCAGGTATATATATATATATATATGAATATGCCTTACAAATAATCACTAGATCATTGCATACATGATGCATGAACACTGCGCCCGCCTGACGGAGAACCGGCTGGAATTGTCTTCACAACTGGCGCGCCATGCAGCGCCCCTCTAGGCCCAACGCAAAGCAATCTTCGCAACATTGTTCATAACACGTTTGCACTGCGTATGCTCTAAGCAACATTCCAACCCCAAACCAACCCAAGGTCCAGAAGAGATACATGGGGTGAAACCACCACCCCTAATCCACTAGCAAAGCACCCTGGTCGATGCATCTGGCACGCCAGGGGAAGCAGTCCTTGAAGCAGTCCTTGAACAACCAAAGAGCAGTTTCGCAGGCAAGGTTCGCATTCGTTGTGTCACCAAGTACTGTAAAGAATTTAGTTTCACATGACATGCAAGTCATAGGAATCTTGATGAATGTAGCTTTAACATGATCCAGTCATTGACGTTTCACTTCACCGGACATGTTTGGCTCAAGATTGTGGGAAAAAGGGGCGGCTGCTGTGTTCTTTTGGTTATCAGCCGTATCGCTTTGCGATCGGTTGTTGGCCGTCGTTGCAGCCATCGCGTCTTCCTCTGGTTCACGTCAACCGACTGAACCCACTGGTCCGCCCCCGCCTGAAGGGGGTTATTCTGATCCGGAGCATCCTGAGTACGAGGAGCTCCACAAGCTTCTGAGGTTCCCTCGCTCCGGAAAGAGCGGCCGAGCACAGAAGAGGGCGTTCATTCGCCAGGGCGTGGCTGAGGGGCATTTTGCGTTGACACATCCGCATTTGCTGAACGGTGTTACGTCTTTCAACTTTTGCGCGCAGAGTCGGGTGACGATTGTTGAGGAGGTTCTTCAAACGTACAGAGCTCGATTCGAGGAGGCGCATAGGTTAGCTGCTTCGGCACTGCCACCTAGGCCTGAGCCCGCTGTTTCGGTTCCGCCTGCAGTGATTGGACTTACGCCAAAGGCATTTGCTAAGGCACAGCTTACCTTTGAGGCAGCGGAGGGTCGCTATACTCGTTGGGAGTCACAGGAGGTGCATTTGGGAGCAGTTGCAGACATTGGCCAGGTTAAGGTCCTTTTTGTTGATCACCATCAGGTTCTTGACAGGGATCACAGCAATACTTGCAGACAGACAGGTCGCGTGGGAGTTGAGAACATTGAGGCGATTGAGAAGTTCAGACAGTTTGCATTGGATCACGAGCGTATTCCATTTGTTTTCGTTCTTTCTTTCATTGGGAGTTCGGGGCGCTACGAAGCGTGCAAAGACATTTGGAGTCGCAGCGAAGGGATTCATCACTTGTTTGACGGGATCATTTGTACATTCACGCCTGACGGGCCGACAGGGAAGGCTGCAGTTATCTCGAGATTTGCCGAACGGTTGGGAGATCACTTGTCTTGTTGTTTGATCGACGACAGCGCTGATATCCTATCTGAGTTGGAAGCCACTTTGGCCACCGACAGGGCACAAGGGATTCACATTAAGCTTTCACGGAAGAGGAGCCTGGACAGTGGATCAACGTATCCATACGGCAATTGGTTGAGCGACGGCTGGACGAAGGAGGCAGTTGAGAATTTCCTTGCATCCGAGTAGACGTCGTTTGATCTTTGAAAAGAAGCGATGGAGGGATCAGGAGGAAGTGCGCATGGTTCACCGGAGAGTGAACAGATTGTCATGTTTGGGGAAGCCGTTGCAACTCCTATCCAAGATACGAGTTTGTCATCCCTGACAGAAACATCTCACTCATCGATGGTTCAAAGTAATCAAGGAAACCCAACAGCAAGGACGGGTGTTGAATACCAGCAACCGACCATTGGTCAGATTGATGCAAGACAGATTGTGTTCGAAAGCAGCCAGTCGTCTCATTTCACCGATGCCAGATCAGTCAATCTCTTGGATTTGAACCCTCTGGTAGTAGCTCAGGCTCACCAGGTCGTGTCCGAAGTGCAGGGTCAAGCCATTCAATATGCCTCTGAAGTTGAAGCCAATGCTAGGAACCAGACTGCTCAATATGTCCAAGCAATGGAGAGTCAGTTTAGGAACCAAGCCCTTCAGCAGATCCAGGGTATTGAATCGAATGCTCAAGCCCAAATCCAGAGTCAAGTTCAATCCATTGAAAATCAAGCCAGGTCTCAACTCCAGGCGGTAGAATCCACTGCCCGGGGCATGGTGCAGCAGTCTCAAGAAGAAGCCCATGAATTGGTCCGCCAAACCCAAGGTCAAGCTACCCGTTTGGTGAATCAGTCTCTTCAAGAGGTTGCTAATTACCAAAACCAAATAGAGCAATTGAAGGCTTTAGTGATTGATCGCACGAACCAGGTGGTTGAAGTGACCGGTGCATTGAATCAAAGAGAGAAAGCATTGGAGTCCACCACTAGGCAGATGAATGAAATGAGGGATCAAATGGAAGCAATGATGAGGAGGATCAAGGATCAAGATGAAAGATTGCAGTCCCTTGCAAGGAGCGGAACTCCAGGGGATCCAAGCACCATCCATCCTTGCAGTCCGCCGCCAAAGGCAACCTCGTTCGTTGATAGGAATCCTAAAGGTGTTGGTCAACCAAGTCCATCAATGAAGGTCCATGGAATGGGTGAATTGGTTCCGGTGGTGCATAGTATTGCAACTCCTAAATCCTACCATCCTGGCACGGTCGCATTCCAGGGTCAACCAATGCAAGAGTCGCGGGTCGCGTTGCCTTCGTTTGCATTGACGCCCATTGCCACAGGAACCAATGGTGAAGAGCTGCATTTGGCACCTTCACCAACTCAGTCCGCTTGTGCAGGAGAGATGCCAAAGGTTAATCCGATGTTACCTCCCGCTGCCTTGCTAAATGATCAGATCGGACTTCAAATCCAAAGTGATCAAACCACTGCTTTGCAAATGCAAGTGCATCAGCTGACCATTCAAATGCAGCAATTGATTGGTGGATTGACGGCAAACCCTGTCCAGTCAGGCAATCAGCCATCATCGAACCGATCAAGAGACCGCCGCAAAGTCCCCGGATCGCCGCCAGGAAGTGATTCTTCATCCTCTTCAAGTGACTCGAAAGGAAAGGGTTCAAATGGAAACCCTGGAGGGGGCGGAGAGGTTCACCACCCAAATCCCCAAGTGGAGGTGGTTCAGATAGCGATTCGGAGGACCCTTACAAACGAGAGAAACGACTAATGCGTATCAAACAGTATGACTATCTAAAGATTCCTGCTTTGCCTCAAGACGCAGCAAAATGCCGGAGTTTCCGAAACGCAGTGTTCAGTGGGGTTTGTAAGTTTGCCAAGAATGATGAAAGCATCGTGTTCCGTTGGATCAATCGTTGCAACATCTCGGAAGATGGAAAAGAGTTCAACAATGCAAAGGACTTTCCCATCTTGGATCGGATCCTAGGCGCCAAATTGCTAGAAGCAGCAAAAGGCACAAAATTTGCCTTGGAGTTTCAGACCCACCAAGAGAGATGTCAGACACATGATCAACAACCGAAAGGTCGCAAGTTGTTGTGGTTGATCTTCCAAAAGTTTCGACTCGATCGCGACCGCGGAACGGCACTCAGTCAGCACCACCTTTTGTCTTTGAAGATGAATGGTAGTGACATCAAGGCACTTGAAGACTTTCGACAGCGATATGACTTTTGCGTGGGCGCTCTTGAACCCAGTGAGATGCCAGCTGAAACGTCGCTGAGGTCATTGTTGTTTGAAAGCCTCAAGAATCACCCCAAAATGGCACTCGCAATTGACAAGTTTCGGGAAGCAAACACAGGTAGCTACAAGCGAACCAGCCGTTGGTTGTATAGCAAGATGTGTGAAGCCATTGAGATCTCCCAAATGGATTTGAACACAACATCAATGGACAAAGCTCTCACATCAGCAGGCTTAGATCCAAAAGTCGGTGGGGCACAAGCAGAAGCAAAAGACAAGAAGAAGAAAGAAGAAAAGACCAAGAAAGAGAAGGACAAGAAGCCAGAGCATGACACAAAGGTCAAGAAAGAGGACAAACCCAAAACATCAAAGAAGGTTGATGAAGACAAGAATGTTGATGCAGCGTTTGCCCAAAAAGGAAAAGGGAAAGGGAAAGACGGCAAAGGCAAGAGCAAGGAGGACAAGCCACCGCTCACCAAGGAGCAGAAAGCAAAACTGCCATGCATGTATTTCGCATACGATTCATGCACTCGCGGGAAGGATTGTGAATTCCTCCATGACAAAGGGAACTTGTACAAAGGTCCGAAACCTCGTATGAAGTCTGGTACTGGTGCTAGTTCTTCTAGTCATGCCGGAGCCGCTTCCGTAGCTGCTGCAACTGCACTCGCGTCAATCCCGTCAGCCGAAGCCGCTTTGAAAGAAGCAAAGAAGGTTTGCAGGAAGGTCACTCGAAGCTCCCTGAGAGTCCCTTGTGTCCAGTTGTTGGCCAAAGCCGTGACTACGATCATGACCGCCATCACATGCTGCAATCCGATGTCCCAGATTGATCATTCAAGTGTCTCTGCATTGGCGTCACACCCATGTCAGATGGAATTCCTCATGGATTCAGGTGCAGGAAGGAATTTGTTGTCAAAAGACTCGATGCCAGATGATTGGAGAGGCTTCATCATCGACCCGCCGGAAAACCTGATCTTTAGAACAGGAGG